TAATCGATTAATACTACAGTAGGTCATACTATAATCTCAAAATTTAAAACATCGACTATGTCTTTTGTTCTCAAATTTAACATAAGGGCGACAGATATGCAAATTTCTCAACGAATATTCCTTAAAATCTGACAGAAGTGATTTATCTTCAAGAGTCATCACTCAAACCTGTGACATATTTTACCTGCATTCAACTGTTTTGGAAATATACTTAGGTGTGTGCGTTGTAGAGGTGGTGATGATAGTGATTCTGCTTTCTATGAGTCTGTTTGACTGCAAGCCTGTCTGTCTGTTTGTGTGCGTACGTGTGTGTGTGTGTGTGTGTGTGTGTGTGTGTGTGTGTGTGTGTGTGTGTGTGTGTGAGAGAGAGAGAGAGAGAGAGAGAGAGAGAGAGAGAGAGAGAGAGAGAGAGAGAGAGAGAAAGAGAGAGAGGGGGGGGGGAGAATTATTGTATGTTACTTTATTCATGGCTGCTAAACGTGTGTATGTAATGTACATGACTCTAGTTCCATTCTCTCTTATAAATCTATTATCTATTTGTGGTGGCCAAATTTTGCTATTCAAAAAGCTTTTTAATGGCTGCATCGATCGACATGCAGTTTTCGCCAAAAGATTCTTTAAAATATTCTCCAGATCATGAATCCCTTCGTTTTTGTTTTCAGTTTTGAGACAGTTTTACTGTTAAAAGCTTAATTCCTTTATTTCGCCGGTTGCTTTCGTTGGCTGACGGTTCTGTCTCTGTAATTTTAGAAAATCCGCCAGGTTTGTTTATTTCAAGCCGTACTTCCGTTCGACACCATCAAGCACTGTCGCGCAATACTGAGCACTACTGTATTATCTTTGGCACTACTTTAACTTAAGGTTAAAGTTTAAGTGTGCGACCCGTACAGATCCAGCCTTAAGTTTTTTGTTTTTTTACATGATGCTAAATTCGACTGTGATCCTTTCGTTTGTTGCCCATAAAATAACCGTGGTTTAGAATCATTTAAAGGGTGCACAGTTATATTAAGGAGTCAGAAGTCAATGTAGTTTAATTTTTCAGTTTTTCATTAGTTTCGTTTAGATCTCTAATCTTGGGAAAGTCCGTCTTCTAAGACAAAACGCCATTGTAAACAGGCGAGGCTTCCGTTCACAAGGAGTGCGTACTGATCCCACAAGGACTTGACGACCGATTCTTTTGAGTTCGTTCATCGAACGGGAAACCCAGCTAGTGCTATATATCTTAATATCTTTTTAAGGGGTTATGTACACGATACGAGGAATGGGAAGATTGAAGAATACCGGACCACTCGTAGATATCTATACAATATTGCGCGAGAATGTGGGGTGGGTGGGTCGGGTGGATGAGGGGGTGGGGGGTTTCAGGGGGGTCTCCCCCCCCCCCGACAAAATTTTAATGAATAGATTTACCGGTCCGAGATTCTCCATTGAGAGATGTTAAAAACTGGGGAAAATCATGAATTCCTAAGGTTGAGACATAGGCAAAGTCAGTCCGCTGGTCCGGTATTCTTCAATCTTATCCGAGGAATTTTCTAGGGGTTTGACTTTCTTTCAATTTTTAAAGGTGATATATAGACTAATTATAGACTAATTAGAAGAATCATGTCGGAATTTGTCGAATTTTATGAAAAAACTGGTTTCTATGGCGGCCGTCTTGGATTTGGGCCATGTTGCGGGGGAAATCGTTTTCCACAGAAAATATTAAAATTGAAAGCTCAAACTTTACACACATATTTACAAACAAATTATCTGTGATCATAGGCTTTGACTTTTTTCCTATCATTAAAAACAACAAAAATATTGATGTATTACTGGACCAGCATCGGAAAAAAAACGAGTATGATGAGAGGAAATCGGGAATATTTTAAAAAATAATCTATTTTTCACAAAATCCCCGCCTGTGATCACAGAACTATTTATACAGCACCTGTGTGCCAAATTTCAAGCATGTAGCTCTGATAGTTTCAGAAAAACGATTTCCCCCGCGCGGTCACCATAGTGGAAAAAGTACTTTTTGAGAAAAACGCAAAAATAGATTGGAAAACGTAAAACTTTAAAAAATGCATTTCCTTGAAAGCGATAAATTGGAAATTTTTAAAACGTTGGCACATTTTTAGGATGGAACTTATCAGGCTATTGATCATTCATTTTCTTCCGAAGTTAGCATTCGGAAACAGGGGCTCATCATGACTACCTTCATTAATCTTTATTCCCTGCCCTTGACCAGTTACGTACAAATTAGAGGAATCATTTAGTGACATTCCAAGAAAACATCAACACACAGTGCGTGCGTGCGTGCGTGTGTATGTATTTTCATTGGTTATATGTGTTGGCGTGAGTGTATGTATGTATGTGTGTGTGTGCATGTATATGTGTGTGCGTGTGTGTGTGTGTGTGTGTGTGTGTGTGTGTGTGTGTGTGTGTGTGTGTGAGAGAGAGAGAGAGAGAGAGAGAGAGAGAGAGAGAGAGAGAGAGAGAGAGTACCATGTATCCCAATTTTGACGGAATTCAAACAAGTGTTCACATTTTTTAAGCCATAGACAGCACATTAAATTAATTTAGCAAAATGAGGACTTTACTTGTGGATTTCGTTCTTAGAAGTCATAGAAGCGAGTCCCACTATTCGTACAGGAGTTCTGGACTGTCAAAGAATGTGCTCTGCGAGGAGGCAGTCACGAGAGCAAGTCTCCTTTGCTCGGCGTTGAAACGTGATTTATTACCTTCTGGCATTGCTCACGCAGATTTTGTCGAGCAAGGTGTTTAACGTTTTGCCTCAGTTCACGGAAAGTTAATGTAAACTGCTACGACTACTAGATAAATCGTACAGTTTGTTTTCTTCGTTGCTACACACAAGAAATTGCCCCTGACCTCTGAACTTTCACGATAAAAACAAAACAGTTCATGCGCAGTTGTTTGACAATAATGTTATATTATTATGTTCTTAAACATTTAAATACTTAATATATAAGTGTTGAAGTATTATTGCCCTTGCTGTCCTTGGTGTCTATGAAAGTAGATATCTACGACTTGACAGCATTTCCGGGAGAGATCGAGTCGTGGAAAGATCCACGGCTCATCAGCCACGGTGGATCCAGCTATGGAGAGCTAATAATAGAAATATTAGTAATACATGTATTGGCATTGTGTGGGTCCTGAATTTTTCGACGCTTTTACTGGGAATAAATAAGGAGACCTCTGAAGGAAAGGATCCAGTTTTGAAATCCGAGAGTGAAAGCAAGAGTGTACATACTTAGCAGTACTTGCCTGTTTGAATTCAGAATGGGAAATTTTCTGTTCAAGAAAGCTGATCCTATGCGAATATTAATTCAAGGTAGATCATCTAGATCTAGAGTTTATATCTTGACTTTTTTCCTTCTTTTTTAAAATCCTTTTTTAAAATTACCTTTTCTATGAAATATGGTCGTGTGTTTGTTTCCTATTTGCCATTTGCAAGTGTGAAAGAAGATTAGGAGGAAGATGTCGGATCTTTGCCGTACGTTTAAAAGGGCTGGGTCCGTCTGTCTTTTTATGTTCGTGGAAAGGAAAGACAAAAAGATATGACGGACTTGGGACTCTGTATACTCTCCCCCCCCTCTTTCTCTCTCTCTCTCTCTCTCTCTCTCTCTCTCTCTCTCTCTCTCTCTCTCTCTCTCTCTCTCTCTTTCTTACTCTCTCCCCCCTCTCTCTCACACTTTCTTTCTTTCTCTCTCTCTCTCTTTCTCTCTCTCTCTCTCTCTCTCTCTCTCTCTCTCTCTCTGCCCCTCTCCCCCCCTCTCTCTCTCTCTCTCTCTCTCTCTCTCTCTCTCTCTCTCTCTCTCTCTCCCTCTCTCTCTTTTCTCTTGGACAAAAGCTAACTTTTTTTGGAGTATGTTTATTCATGCTTGGAAAGGTGAAATTTGCCCTCTTTAATTTCAGATCTAATTTCTGTAATTTCATATCTTTCTTTTGATACTCTACTCTGTACTTTTATGAATCCCTCATCTTGTGAGGGGGCAGTCAGTGCCTGATATGGAAATAAATACATGTAATTTGAAAAAATGTTGTACGTGGGTGTATGCAGACTTGGACATAAGCTTTTTGGATTAATTATACTTTTTTCTTAAAACGAAGTGCGCAGGCCTAATATATCTTTTAAACAAGTTTGACCGCCCCATAGCCAGTGGCCTGCACTGCTCTTTTCGTGCAGAATGTGCACAGTACTACCACTGAGTCCTGAATTGAAGCATACCCCTGTCTGGTTTTGTAAATTTTCCAGAGATATCTTTGCAATGATTACTCAGATTACTTTTACCCTATTGTTACCACTTCCACTTTACTGGATCCAATGTAGTCAAAGCCAGGGAGCCTGTTTTTTTAGGTAATACTGCAAATGATAATTGTTCTTTGTTGGATGTAGTTCACGATGACCGTGCCTTTATCTTGCAAATGGGAAAGTTGTGGCCAATTCCTGATTCTCTTTAATATTGACAATTATACTTATCATGAGACTCCAGAACACTTTCATTGTCTTTCTTTTCTAGAAATCAGTGTTTATTGGACGGTCAATAATAAAAACCTTTTGCCTCCTAATCATTTTGACGTAAGGTAGATGTAGTATTATAGTGAATAGGGTGGAGGTGGTTAATGAATGATGGAAAGAGTCAAACAAAGGGTATAAAGTTATATTCATTTGTACTGATTCCCCTTTGACCCTCTGATTCTCCTCCCTGATTTCAATGACCTTAACTAGTTTAATAATGTATCCATATTAGATTTTCTTGAAAATGTTTTAAAATATTGTAAGTTCTGTGAAATAAGGTATTTTGCTTGTTTTGGTAAGTGTCATATGAGTGTACGGGACACATTAAACATTTTAAGTTTGGTAGGACTTTTTAATTTTGCACGGGTGGCGGCTGAGTCAACTCTTGTTCGATTTTATGACCACCTGGAGATATTTATAGTGCGCAACTTGCACAAAGGACCTCCAAGATTTTTTGCCCTTATCCGAGAAGACTAGGTGTTAGATCTTACCTACCATAAGATCAGAGGTGCGGCTGAAAGACAGCAGTAAGAAGGAGCCAAGGAGTACCAGTAGAAAGGCTACCGAAAGAGTCTGGAGCTTAGAGGAAGGGGCAAAGGGGAGGGGGCAGAAAGTGGAGACGAAAGCAGGTGACAGATTTGGGGACGGAAAATTGCACAGGTTTTATACTGTTATGCAAAGGATTACTCAATAAGCCGCCTTTCCTATGCATGGTAAGTTGCACAGGTTTTTGAGTGTGATATTACTTATGAGGTAGCTGTAGTTGAATCAGAATCTCGACCTTGACCATGTTTAGCTGACTTGAGTGTTCACTGAAGAGCATTCAAGTAATAGATCTCTCTTCCTGGCTGGGGGTCGGGAGGGGGTATATTGTTTAACTGAAAATAATCCCGTGAGTTTGTCTTAGAAGAACCAGAATATAAATAAATGTTTTCGCGGCCTTGTATAGATAGATGTGTATGCTCAATGCAACTTAGTCGTGCTCTCAAAAAGAAACTTAAAATGGAGGTTTCAATGGTAGAGGAAGGACGAAAATATATAGAATGAAATGAAATAAGTCTTGATTCTTGGCTGACGGAGGAGGTCTACTACTTAAACTAAAACTTATAGAATTCAAGTCTGTGCCATGTTGAATACTTGCGCAACCTAAGAAATATATCTACTCGATACCGAAAATACTTGAGCAATTTTCCAACAGGTTTTGGAAAACTCCTTTGAACTTTTTGACAATTTATTCAGGATTAAAATCCTGTGCAATTTTCTACTACCCGACAGAATATGTTTAGAGGGCAGGAAAGGAGTAATGGACACAATTTTAGAGAAGAAAATTTTCCGGCGCTGTCAGGTTTTGAACCCGGGACCTTTTGAAAGAGAGGCAAACACTATAACCTCTAGACCACAAGAGCCCCCAAAAATAAAGTACGGTTAAAATTGTTTAAACGGGAATTCAAACATGTCTCCTTTTCTCTCCTCTTCAGGTCTGGACGCAGCAGGGAAGACCTCAATCCTATACCGTCTCAAGATTGGTGAAGTGGTCACCACAATCCCTACCATTGGTCAGTTGTTGTTGGGTTTGTTTTGGGGTTTTTTTTAGGGGGGGTTGTTTTTTGGGAGGAAGGGGTGGCAGTTTCTCTCTCACTTAGGTACTTCATTCTTCACTTATCACCTCTCCTTTGTAATATATCACAGGTTTAGAAAAATTCCCTTTTATGTTGTTGCAATTCTTGGCAAAAATTGTGTGCATGTTAGCCCAGTAGTATGTGTTTTGTACTTTTATTTAATTCACATTTAGTTTTGTTTTAGATTTGCAAAACTGGATCTTGATGAACTAAAAAATTTACAGCACCAGGCTATTTTTAGCCCTCACTCCCCTCTAACCCCAAATAGTTTTCAATTTATGAGTAGTCATTCATCAGTAAGAATACTGAAGGACATCGACAGACTAAATTTACCAAGGTAGCTTTCTCATGCATTCCTTATGACTCTCAGAAATCTGTTCTGCTCCCAAATCTAAATTTGTCACAGAGCTGCTATGATGAAAAATGCTTTTGAATTTGAAGATGTGATTAACATTTTCACTTTATTTCATTGTGAAGTACACTGCTGATTTATTTGTATTCTTACAAGTAATTTTGTTTTTCACCCAGGCTTCAATGTGGAAACTGTGTCAGTGAAAGGAGTCGACATAACATGCTGGGATGTTGGTGGCCGGGACAAGATTGTAAGTTTTCTCAAGCTCAGTTAAAATTGTCCAATATGGTCATCCAGTGTGACAGAAATAAATGGTTGTCTTAGACAGGTTAACGTCTTGGACAGTGTCATTATAATGTAGTTTTTTTTTAATGCAAAAATGGAAATGGGAAGTGATCTTTTAATAATTATAAAAATAATTGCATTTATATAGCGCATATCCATGCTCAAGAGCATGCTCTGTGCGCTTTACAACTATCATTACCCCAGCAGACCCTCAGAGAACACTCAGAAACATTCTCTGCTTCCGAGGAAGCCTACAGTGCAAGCTGCGGATTTCACGCGCTCAAACACTATCAAACTGACAAGATCTTTCACTGTCTATAGCCGGGTACCCATTTCCACTTGGGTGAAGTGAGGAAAATTTGTGCAAAGTGCCTTTCCCAAGGACACAACATCGGGCCCGTGACGGGATTCGAACCCATGACCTTACGGTTGCAAGTCCGAGAGCCTAACCACTAGGCCACCGACGCCACTTTTGTGCGGATTATATTGTCGTGGACAGGTGGGAGTTGAAGCTGGTTCGACTGATATGTCTAACAAAGGTATTTTTACAGTGCACTGAATAAACGTAACTTCGAGGAGACAATAAGTGGTCAAAAGGCCTTTCAAATCTTTATAGAGGAGAATGTTTAGTGGCTTTAGTAGCAACAGCTTTCAGCTAGGTGGTCTCTGAACTGTATCCCTTGAGCAAGACATGTGGAGCCTCTAGAGATTAGAGGCAGGCCATTGTCCTCCAGTGATCAGTTCACAAAAACAAGGGGTCTTTTTTTCTGACTATCAGACCTCTGAATTAGGATATCCCATTCTTCGTGGTAGAAAAGTAGTTTTTCGATAGATAATTTGGGAGGTCAATTCCCAGCTCAGCCCAATAAGAACATTGTAACCCAAAGGAAACTAAGTGCTTACTATATATAACCGTGTTACCTCCGTCTCCCACCTGCAAACGGGTACAATTAGTACAAAGCAGTGAGTAGAGATGCAAAATGAGAGAAACAATTATTTGCACCTACAAACTGCTATGCTGTACATTCCAGGATGCAGTGAGAGGATATGATAGAATGGACTAGCCAGCAAAACACATTTCAAACTCTTTCTGTATCCATATTTTTCTAAACATACGTACATGAAGGATTTGGGAAATGAACAGCATTGCAGTGGGTCTTCACATTTTAAAATACTTCAAGTACGAAAATCTCTTTAAAACTTTCAGTATTTCCCAAAAAATCGTTTTTTCAGACTGCTATAAGAAGTATACGGATCGGATTAACGAGTAAATTTCCTCTTTAGAAAATGGTGGCACAGAGTTCCCCACATCGTATGGATATGATAGTGAAACACGACGTACCGATAGGGTTTAAGTAAAGAGAGCAGCTTGTTTATCTTCAATTTTTATCGAATTTTTATTTAAGTGCCAATGTTAAATAACTTCTAGTCCTCGTTTTTCCCCCTCACTCCTACACCAGCGACCCCTCTATCGACACTACTACGCTAACACAACAGGCTTTGTGTTTGTTGTGGACAGTGCTGACCATGAGCGACTAGACTTTGCATTTGATGAATTCATTCGGTTCTGTTTGCAGGTGAGTGATGATGTCCATTTTTCTTTTCTTTTGTTTTCAGATACTGTTGATAGCCTGATGATGTCCATCTTTATCTGCATTTTCATGTTTTCTCCTTGTTTACACAAATGAAATTCTGTGTTTTCAGAATCTTGAAGAGAAAAGTTGCGAGCAGCCAAATTATATCTAGGAAACTTTTTATTTATACTTGTCAGTCTTCCTTGTTTTATTTACTTTGTAAGTGTGTATGTTCACTTTTAGTAGCTGCAAGAAAAATTATTGAAAACTCTGTAGTACAAACATCCCAAATGTTGGGTGCTCTATATTTGCCTATTAACACAATTGTCTGTTCAGAGATAGATCTATCATTACATTGAATGAAAGTCACACTGAACTTGGGTTGTTATGGGTATTTGGGTTAGAATGAGACAATTGTATTTTATGTTGGTAAAAGTCTAGTTCAGGTCCCCTTTTTTAAACTTAGTTAAAAATCATCTCTCACTCATTATGTGATTGCTACGCCCATGTTGAACTCACAAAGAGTGGAGACATTCCCGGGACGTATGAAGACGTAACAAACACACAAAAAAGAGAGATAAAGACGATAGCTGTTTGATAGGAAAGAAGGAGCATACCACATGATCACCCACCAATAACCCACAAGGTATATCCAGAATGGAGACTTCAACAAGACTTCCCCTTATGTCATATTATATTTCAGGAGGAGGAGACAAAGGGAACTGTGGTGATGGTGCTGGCCAACAAACAAGATTTACCCGAAGCTCTGACATGTGAGGAATTGGAGAAGAAGTTTAGAAAGAAATGTCCAACCACTCCAGACCACAGTAAGTTGAAACTTTCAAGGTGCAGTTCCATGAAAAAATCTTTTACATGTACGGTATATGTTACGTACGTATGACATACATATTTTTCGTCGTACGTATTCCTTGTTTCCATGCTCCGTAGTTGGTTTTTTTAACTCATTCGCTGCGCCGAGCCGTGGGGGGCGGCGCGGTTTAAGTGCCGTCAGTACGCGAAGCCGCCCCTGACGGCTCGAGAACCGATCTTCAACTTTACTTAGCTTAGATTCTATTCCAATCCACATATCCATGTTAAAATAAAGGTCATAATATAATGTTGACTTCCGGGTCAAGCATTTCCACTGAAAATTGGAAGTTTAGATTCAGTTTTGAAACGCGATTTCGTAGTTAATTATTCGACTTCGTTTTATCGCGATGCCAAAATTATAGCCCGGACACCAGTCTTAGTAATTTTACACAACAAAATCTAACATTATTTTGCCCACTAAAGACGTGTAGGACTCTTTTTTATAATATTGATATGATTGGACTCATGTTGCCAATGTAATGTTATTGAGAAATCAATATTTTTGAGTGCCAGATCTAGATCTAGTCTAGATCTAAATTGTAAAAATATAATTTTCTCCCCAAAATCACTACTTTTTGATGAAATTACACAAAAAGTGCCACTCAAAGCATGTATAGGTTTATTCCAAATGCAATTCCGAATAATTCCATATAAGATACGAGTGGGTTTTTTTCTGTTTGTGATTGTTTTTCAAGATAATAAAATTTTTATTTTTTTTCAATATCGGATGTCATGATCCAAATGTACAAATATTATGGAATGTAAGTAAATAACAGCAAACTTTTCAATATTTTCCAGTTCTATATTCATTTATGGTTATTTTGATGTATCATTTGACTAGGTGCAAACATATTTTTTGAGTTTCACCAAAGATAAATTATCTTTTTGTTTTCAAATTTTATCCGCATCCAATCAAAATTGTGTTGCATAATCGTCTCTTACAGGAACCAAAGTTGAAAAATACATAAATAAACATTACAGATGTATTCTACAAACCATACTGAAAATATTGGTATATAATACGTTGATATTTATTTGAATTTGTGGCCCCAAAGACCTTTTAACTGCCACTAGTCATTATCTCATTCGCCCTCCCGAATAAAAATTCGTCCACAGGCCGAAAATAATACGTAGCGAATGAGTTAAAAGCTACATGTGTATTACGAACGTGTTTTTGTGCCAGTAGTGAAACAAGATGTCGAGATGTAGGCGTCTTGTATAATTATTACTCTCTTTCATTAAAGAGACAAATCAAGATGATGTTTTGCCTGGTTCTATAATTAGAAACTTAAACGGAAGTAAAAGACATCATAGATTTTGGATCCTGCTATCATCTAGTGAAAGAACTGAACTGGATGGAAATAAGTATCATGAATATTTTAGACATTCATTTGTGCTGTAATTCTGTTGCCATAAATTTTGTTGTTGCTGGCTGTCTTTGTGCTGCAGATGTGACGCGTCATACAAACACTGGATTTCCCTAGTCAGTTTAATCAAATGCTCATAGTCACTGCCAACACATGGTGGGAGGGGCGGATGAGAATGCTCGTGCCAAATTACGTACGCATTCTCGCAAAAATTCACATCATGAGAACCACATACCTGATACATACGTACTACAATATGTAGATCTATGTGTTACGTCTCGCATAGAACCAGTTCCAGGAAATAGTGAGGGATCCGAAATCTCCTACGTATTTTACCTTTAAAAGACATATGTAATATGGATGAAAAATATGTACCATGGAACAAGGCCTTTAGTTTGAAGAAATGAAAAATTACACCTACTAATAGTGATTACAAGCCAATAAAGAGTTGATTATAAAAAGGCAGTACAGGTATATCTTAAGATCCAACTTAGCAGTCAGTCGATAGAAATATATACCATTTTCTGAGTGCACAGAAAGTTGGAATGTCCTGAGAAGATGGTGCATGTGGCTAATAAGGTCAAACCGTGGAAAATTTATTCCAGGTTCAGTAAGTGCAAGGAAATCATCATTGTTCTGCTCTCTGTCACACCTTGCTTCCTCTCTTTAGATCATGGGTATAGGCTAATCTCCTTTGCTTCATTCCTGTCTTTCATTTTGAAACTCTTGACTTCTGTCTTTAACTTTAATAAACTGTGGTCTTTGATAATCTTCAGGTTCCAATGAGTAGCCTAAAATTTGAATTGGGCAGTCTTATAAGGATTTCATTGCTGACAGGGTAGCTGAAAATCTTGTTCAAGGAAACTCTCTGAGTAGATACTACATGCAGAATTACGGATTTATGACATACAATTTTGCCTTACTCATTTGAGCTCATTCATTCTGTGCAGACTTGTACACTGACCTTAACCTTAATATTCAGTGTCTATAGAATTGTCTCTTTTTGTCTCTCCTCAGAAGTTCTCTTCAGACCCACCAGCGTAATGAGTGGTGAAGGACTTTTCGAGGCCTTTGAAGATTTTGTCTCAGAGATAAAGGCAAACAGGGAAGATCCTTGTGCATCAAAAGCCAAGGAGGAACAAAAATCTATTGAGGGAAAACAAGGAACTTCTTTAAAGCTGTTCATCAAAAGCCCATTGAGTTTTGTCAAGTCCTTACTGCTGTACTGAGTGGACATTTCAAGCTATTCACAACAAATGAATCATCAGAAAGAATTGGGAACAGTGCTTGAATAAAACTTTCTATAGTATATGGGAGAGAAAGTCTTTCTCTCTCCCTTTCTCTAACCATTCCTTGCCCCCCCCCCCCCAATCCCCTTTCTCTTTCATGTGTGTGCTCATGTGTCTGTGTGCAGGTGAGCATTCGCTCATGCCTGCACTCAGGTGTTTTATTTTCTCTCTTTCTGGAAAAGATCAAGCCCATATTATGTCTCTTGAATCTTCATTACTCAGGAACTGTTTATGCTTTTTAAAATGTCTTTCATGTTTCTTACACAATTTAATTGTAAAAAATATTGGTTGTGTTTGCTAAATTTTGTAAATATACAATTGTATCTAAGATTTGTTGCTATTTTGTATTTGTTCCTATCGTAAAATATATTTTAGGTTGTGGTATAATAATATTGCTTTTTCAAAGTTTTGTTTTTTATGTGTGAAATGATTTTATCTCAGGAACTTTTTCTTGATCAGTTTGACAGAAATATAAAAGCTGATGTGATATCTGAAATAACTCAGAGTCTTTCCTTTCTTTTCAAAGAATTAATTTAAGCAAAAGCTCAAGTTGAACATTCAAAAGCCATAATAATGAAAACGGATGTGGCGTCAGCAGCCTAGTGGCTAGGCTTTCAGACTCATAATCGTATAGTCATGGGTATGAATCCCGTCAGGGGCCCGACGTTGTGTCTTTGGGAAAGGCACTTTACAAGAATTTTCCTCACTTCACCCGGGTGGAAATGGGTACCTGGCTATAGACAGTGAAAGATCTTTTTTCACTTTGATGGTATTTGAGCACCGTAACCACACCTATATGCTTCCTCTGGGAAGCTGAGAATGTTTCTGAGTGTTCTCAGAAGGTCTGCTGAGGTAATAATAGTTGTAAAGCGCATACAGCATGCTGTGGAGTGTGGATATGCGCTATATAAATGCAGTTATTATTTTTATCATGTACCTGCATACTAGAGAATTTCACTAACATTTGTGTTGTCAAATAGAATTTCACGCACTGAAACTTCTTTGGGTCTGTGCAAAGTTTATTTTTTAAAAATGAAATAGAAGTATTTTGCGCCCCCATCAATTTATATCATATAAGTGGTGGACTTCCAACTATGCTTGAGAGGGATACATGATATAAATTCTCCCTACTTGGGAATCAACCTTGGGTTTCCTGTGTGCAGCAGCGAAGCACCTCCACAGCAGAGACACCACTTCAATGTTTGTGACTGAAGCATTTATTAACGATTGTGGTTGCTGGTGATATTATATTGTTCTGCAAGACACAACGTAGCTTATTTGTAAGGTAGAGTCTCTTGTGAGGACTAACAGCTTTTTTTTGTTTGTTTCTTCTTTTTTTTGGGGGGGGGTAAGTGTTTTATCGCGCTCGCCACTGCTTAAGGTCATATGAGCCTGTGAGACACATTAAACATTTTTCAGTTGGTAGGAAATTTTGAATTTTGCCCAGGTGGCGCCGAAGCCTACTTTAATCGATTTTATACCACTAAGGGATCTAAGGGGCACAGCTTGCACACGGGACCTCCGAGGTTTTTCGCCCTTGTCCGAGAAGGCTAGGTGCAGATCTTTCCTACCAGAAGATCAGGGGTGTGGCTGAAAGACAACAGTAAGAAGGAGCAAAGGAGTCGCAGTAGAAAGGCTGCAGAAAGAGTCAGGAGCCCAGAGGAGGGGGCAAAGGAGGTGATGGGGTGGGGGCAGAAAGAGGAGACGAAAGCAGACGACAGAACATTGCTAGAGAGCAGGAAATGCAGTGAATTCATGGAAGGAGACAATTTTAGAGAATTTTTTTCGGTAGCTACCCGGATTCGACCCCGGGACCCTTTGAGTGAAAGGCGAACTCCTTAACCTCTAGGTCACGAGAGCCCTCGACTAACTGCTGATAGGAAATCATGGGCCAAGGAAGGGTGAGAAAAATGTTTTGGACCTCACTCTGGTCCAGACCTCGCACTGCTGCATGATAAATCAAATTCCAAACCTGCTTCTTTTCAACAGCTACGAGCAGCTTGGACTGATGATGGATGCTCTCAAAAGTACCTTATAACAATACTGCCCTGTCTGTTGTTATTGTTTTACGCTCCATCAATACAACTGCGGTCTATCTGGGGGCAGGCTACCTTGGCCCAGTCTGTTTGGGCCAACATTTGCTGTGTGGGATGCAAAATCCCAGCGGAAAGAACGAGATGCTTGCTAAAACATCTTTCCCAAGTGGAAATCAAACTCATCTATTTTGTTTGCCAGTTGTCTCTCCTTGTGAAATAAATTATCACAATAGACGGAAATAGAAGTTCACATGTTTTAAAAAATATTGAACGCTCATAACATGTGGTGTAAAATACACAATAAAAGGCACCTTTTCTTTATTTTTTTCAATTTCAAAACCATATCAAACAATGAAATGCGTTTGAAAAAGAGGACCAAATGCTCTTTGTATTCCATGAATATTCTCATACTATAAGATCTATTCACAACACTCTTTCCACAAACAACTGTGGAGAAAACATCAAAACAAATCCTCATTATACATTATTCAAAGACATTTCTATAAAATTCAACCAACCTTACGATTTATTCAAAACAGGTATCCCAATCAAGCCATAAGAGCATCGGACTAACAATAGTATGGCTGTGGGTTTTAGCAAAAGTAATCTTGAACCTTCCATTCCGAACGTATTTGACCTACTGCGCACATCTGTGATCTCTACTTTCAGTGAGGCCACAATTGGGTCATCATTAAGTCATGCAAGAAAGAACGCAATTGTTTTTAGAATGGTGGGTCAGAAATTAAACTATGGGTACAACGTTTTATCTTGAGGAAGGACATTTTATCCCGTTATTTCCAGGTAGAAGTGACATGAATGATAACATCATGTATTGGAATGTCACCAACTCTGTATGAATGCAAACAAAATGAGATCCTAGGGTATTCTTCAGTAAGCCTACAAAATCAAACTACCACTTTTTAAATTTTAACTTTGGGAACCACGCAGAGAAATTCAATGGCGAACACTTAAAATAAGTAAATCATCATCAAGTGCCAGATATGCGACAGACACTGGTGATCATTCATTGTTCTGCATTCAAATTTTCATTCCTGTGCTCGAATGGTCTTTTAAAAAAGCTACACCACCCAGGTCTTTGCCCATAAATAATTGACCATGAAAATTGTTGTAACCCGCTATGTTTGAGTTTGAGTACCGAGAAGCACACCAATACAATAATGGTCATTTAATGCTGGGGAAAAGTAAAACAGAAACAACAGTGTGTGTGAGTGGGGGGGGGGGGGTAAAAAGGGACCTACCAGTCGCACCCTCCAACCATCCTCTGCCGTCTACAAATTTTTTCTTTGATCTAAATGGGCTGCTTCAACCATGCCTGGCAGTTCGGACCTTACGTTCGTGTGATATAATACCACCACAAAGAAAACATTTTGAAATAACATTCCGTAATGAGGAATGGAACTTTTGTATTTTGCAAAGGCGCTGTAATTGATTATAATACCATTTAAACAATCGTGTAAATGACGCTTTGAATTACTATGATCGACAAAACGCTCTTTTGTGAGGAGAACAATTGGCTGACTTCCAGGTAAATAAATATGTGTATGCACATTGTAATACTGGCTGAAGGCTGAGGTACAGGTGGGGTTGGGAGTCCCTTTAAGTTTTGGCTCAGTATCAGGGTAAGAATAAAATTTTGTGCAATTATTTAATTAAGAGTTCAGCATTTTAATATTACCTTCCTATTTTTTTTCGTCTTCTTATAGAGTTAGTTATGTATATTATATCATTATGGCTAGTCTATGTTCCCGCAGAAAAAGGGATGAGAGAGAGAGAGAGAGAGAGAGAGAGAGAGAGAGAGAGAGAGAGAGAGAGAGAGAGAGAGCGTTGGAATGCAAAAACTGCAAAAGATGATGGTTCAGTGCATTTGCTACTTTTATTTCTATAGTGTTGCAGGCTATAACAATTTCTTTTAATTTCGTACTCCTAACCTGTGACTGAAGTTCAACTGAATAGTCGATGGAAAAGGATTAAGAGTCTATGAGCATCTAACAAATTTGGGATATCATTACCTGTGAAGAATGCCTCTGAACATGATCAGCAGGGGAAAAAATAACATGCTGAGAGATGAAATCGGATGTGATCCCTAAAATTGCAAAACTAAGCCGAGACTAAGACCTGTGGTATGAATTCGGACGGAATGATAAGTATAAACAACAGCAACAAAGCAAAAACAAAAACAATAGCAAAAAACAAAACCCCCAATCTAGACAATATGATTCATAAAAAAGGAGTGACAATATTAATATCATATGATTTCATTGAGCATAGCGGCATTCTGTTCAACCCATTGCTCAAAGGACCGGACAGCTGGGTTGAGTTTCTTGCTTTCGGACAAGTTGTACCTCTGATCCACTCTCATGAAGAACTGAAACATGTTGGCCCAGTCTGTGGCTCCAGGCAAGTCTTGGCAACGTCGCTGGTTAAACTCGTACACTGTCAGCTGCAAAAGGAAAGTTTTATACATGTTGTACCAGACCTTAAGTGTATGGGCTTGTTTGGGGTTGTTGTTGTTTTTTCAGACCCAAAAGTAGTAATATAGTATGAGTAGATGTTTTACAGCACTATGAACACAGTTTGGGTCATCATCCCCCCCCCAAAAAAGACAAAACGAAAACAAAACTGGGTTAGCCCTGACAGGCAAGATCAAAGCGGACCGCCTTGTAAATGATTAGAATGATGTCTATGAGGGTAGAAAACGTTTAGTTTTTAGTTTTCGTAAGAGCTTTACGGCACTTCAACACAGTAAGGTAATATAAATGCCAAAGATTGGAGTGTTACAAGAGAGTAACAAACACAAAAAGAAAGGGAGATAAGGGCGAAAGATGTTTGATAGGAAAGAAGGGCCAAACCACACCAGAGCAACCACCCCCTGCCTCGTAAATGATTGGAATTGTCTATTGGGGGGGGGGGTTATGTCTACAATTATACTATGGGTAAAAACTTCTTAGCTTCCATTTCCAGTAGTTGCTCTGGTGTGGATTGCTCCTTCGTTCCTATCTAAATTATGTAAGCTCAAAATGCATTTGTGGACTTCTAACGTTGGTTATTGCCTGTGCTGTCTGTGCAGTCCTCTTCCTTAATTGCCTCCACTGTGCTAAGAGCGCCATCTTTGAAAAGACCTTTTTAAAAGTTACAAGTACAAAGGCTTTACGCCACTTTTTAAAAAGTCAAGCAAATATGAAAACGTCATTGCCAAGAACTAATACTCATCTCAGTGGATAGAATCAAGAAGAAATCGGTAGCAAAAAAACTTGATTGTTTGTGCATTTGTTAGTCTGTGTTTGCGTGTGTGTGTGCGTGTGTGTGTGCGTGTGTGTGTGCGTGTGTGTGTG